TAGCAGGTGGTGGGACAGAACTAGGCCACCTCTCAGATGTGTGTTGCTTCCAATCCAGTTGCAGTTCTCTCTCTTTCAGTGCTGCTCCCAAGCTTTGTACATTTTGTTTTCTTACAAAACCTGCAAAAGCTGAAAAACAAGTTCTAGTAAATGCACGCTGAGACTTTTCCTTCTCCCTTAGTGTTTCCTCCTCGACTGTACTCAGAAGTCTGCATTTTTAAGCCAGAGTGATATTACTCTTGCCTTGAATACTAGTAGTATATTCCATTTAGAAGTTCTAAAGCTTGGGGGTGGGGCATGCATGCCCTTTCAGATAATTTTAGAGAGTTTGTATATTCCTGGTTCCTGGAAAAGAGTACACATGTAAGGTTCAGCTTTAGCAGTGGGACAGCATGGATGCAGGACCCAGTGTCACCCACGTACTCAGAATATGCCCTCACTTGACAAGTTACACAGCTCTTTTGGGTTTCAGTCCTCTTACCTGTAAATTGAAGAAATAATTAAAACATGTAGCTAGTGATACCATTGTCAAGATTAGAAATGGTGGTTATTTATTTATTTATTTATTTGGAGACAGAGTGTTACTATATTGCCCTCGGCAGAGTGCCATGGCATCATAGCTCACAGCAATCTCAAACTCTTGGGCTTAAGGGATTCTCTGGCCTCCGCCTCCCAAGTAGCAGGGAGTACAGGCACCTGCCACAACATCTGGCTATTTTTTGTTGTAGTTGTCATTATTGGTTAGCTGTCCCAGTCCGGGTTCAAACCTGCCAACTTTTGGTGTATGTGGCTGGCACCATAACTGCTGTACTACGGGTGCCAAGCCAATGGTGGATATTTATAATTTGTTGTACAGGGCCTATAATGAGTTGCCATTTCAATGTGTTAGCAATTACATAAGAAGATAATTATTAGATTCTAAAGGTATAAATAAGTAGTATATTGAATTTTTTTATAAATTGGAAACTGCTGATAATTAGTTTATTAGTGTATTTCACATTATCTTCCTAGATGTTGACTTATTTTGCTGCATTTGAAGTATTCTTTGAAGAAAATTTGCCGAAATTATTTGCTCATTTCAAGAAGAACAACTTAACTCCAGACATCTACCTAATTGATTGGTGAGAAAGAATCTCCCGTATGGTTTCAGAATGTTTTCTTAGTACCTGCTGCATTTTTCACTGCCGGCTGCTTTCCCATCCTGCTTTTTAGCCTTCCCTGACTGCTTTGCCCTTGAGCTGCCCTTAGTTTTCTAAGCTTGATTTTATTCAATTGTCCTGTCCAGCATGTGGTGAGTGCTGATGGTGTTGGAGTCCAAAGTAAAGAAAGTCAGTTGGGTTCATGATAGATCTTAAACACCAACCCATGGAGCTTAGGCAAGATTGCCAGGCCAGAGGGGATGGTGGGAGACTTGAAGAGCAAGAAGGGAAATAAGATTTTACAAAAAGAAAAAAGAGAAAGGAGAGGGGGTGAGTAAAGGGAATATTGACCAAAAAAAAAAAAAAAAAGAGGCACCAAAAGAAGACAGGAGTAAAATAGGTGTATTGTAGGGTAGTTTGACCATCTTAAAAAAAAACCCAACCTCTGGGGGTGCTGGGTTGGGTGGTTCCCTTGAGGTCAGCAGCTCTTTGCCAGACTGTTCAGCACCCCACCTCCACCAAGTAGACAGGAAAGACAGAAATACTATAAATCAAACCGAAACAAACAAAAACCCTTATCGGATAAAATTGGGGTAAAAAACCAAATAATAGGGCAAAAGCACTAGCAAAAATGAAGCTCTTATTAAAGAAGGCAACAATGGAAAATTATATTTAAAGTAGAAAAATGAAGAAAGAAAAGAGAAAAAAAAGAAAAATCTAGAGGAAAAATGTTAAAATTAGAAAAGAAAAAAACCAACCAAAAACAAAGCAGTATATGTATCTTGCTGAATATTGTCTAGGCAACAGGTGATCTTCTGGGGTATGAGATGTTAATCACAATGCTGATACAGCTATATGAGATGGAGACTGGAGGCCTCTGCTTATTTCTCAAACCCTGCAGGGTTGAGAGCCTAAATCTCTCCTCAGTCCACTTAAAAGGCACTTTAAACTGTTAACCTTGGCTAAGCAGAAGATTTCCCAGGAGAGCACTTGTCACTAGGATCTCTCCTGAAGTGTCTGCCCGGTCATCCAGGGCATCGAAACCTGCTACACCCTATGCCCCTGAGGGCTGAGGCTGCAAGGCAGCTCTGCTACTGCCAAACACTGAAATTTCCGCTCTTCCCCAATGTCTGTCCCAGCCTTTGGCGCTGCTCAGTCACTAGATCACTTGCCCAGGGTCTCCCAAACAAAGTCTTGCTCTGTGTTCCTGAGGGTGGAGCCTGTAGGGGCAGTTCTCCCACAATGGCTGCATGAGTGGCCCACAGTCAAACAATATTAGCTGTTTTTAGACTCAGCAGCTCAGTCCAGGGCGCTAGACAACACTTAAAGTCATCCACTCTCTTGCCCAAGTTCTCCCAGGGTAATTCAACCGAGTGCCCAAGTGCAAAAAAACAAAAACAGCCACATGGAAGGCCTTCCCTGTTGGGAATCTCGCTGCTGTTGTAATTATAGCTATGGCAGCCACTTGCTAGTTCTCCACTGCTTTTCTCATGCTCCTGGGGTCCAGAAGTCTCTCACTGTCTTCCTGTGTCCCCAAAGGGACAGAGCGCTCGAGCCAGAGATGCCTGGGGTCTTCTCTCCCCAATCTCACCACACTCAGTTGCAGGAAGGTGTTACTCGGCTGCCATCTTGCTCCTTCCTTTTCCTGTTGCTTTTTAATGGCAGAATTATTTGGAGGCATGAGTAGGTTCAGTAATAGATAATCTTGAATTAATAAAGATATTCCATATCATGAATAATGTTTCTTGATGTGGTGTTTACTGATACTTAGAGATCCTATCATTCCATTGCATCTCTGCTTTAAAGGAAAGGTTCAAATGAAATGACTGTAGGAAGTTTCCATTGCAGCTGGCACATAGTTCATTTGTAGCTTTAACTTCTGGATTACAAGTCTTTTCAAGATTGCTGAATTGCCAAGTACCCAGAAGCATGCCTGGCACACGCTGTGGTGGCCTTGGGGAATGTGTGGAGGGATAGCATTCCTTGCCTGTATGCAGCCTGGCTTGGCCAGAGATAGAACTGTGTCTGTTGGCTCTGCTGAGTGCTGGGACAGAGATATTACAATGCCACTGGGCTTGGTGTAGAAAGTACTCTGGGGGGCACAGAGGTGGTTAGAAGTGCCTGATTGCTTTCAGGATCAAAGTTGTTGTGTTTTATTTTATTTTATTTTTTAAGAGATAGGGTCTTGCTCTTTCACCCAGGCTGAAGTGCTATAGCAGGATCATAGTTCACTGTAGCCTCGATCTCCTAGCCTTAAGTGGCCCTCCTATCTCAGCCTCCCAAGTAACTAGGACTGCAGGTATGCACTACCTACCACACCTGGCTGATTTAAACTTTTTTTGTAGAGACAAGCTGTTACTGAGTTGCCCAGGCTAGTCTCAAATTCCTGGCCTCAAGTGGCCCTCTTTGCTTCTGCTTCCCAAAATAAGGTTTATAGGGGGTATGCCACCACACTCAGTCAACTAAGTTTGAACTGAGTCTTAAATAACCACCTCCAACATTTTTTTTTTTTTTTTTTAAGAGACAGAGTCTCATTTTGTTGCTCTTGGTAGAGTGCTGGCGTCACAGCTCACAGCAACCTTCAGCTCTTGCGCTTAGGCAATTTTCTTGTCTCAGTCTCCCAAGTAGCTGGGACCTCAGGCGCCCCCCACAATTTTTTGTTGCAGTTTGGCTGGGGCCGGGTTTGAACCTGCCACCCTCAGTATATGGGGCTGGCACCCTACTCACTGAGGCACAGGCACCCCCCAACCATCTCCAACTTTTAACAAATATAATTCTGTGTTAGGACTTTAATATTTTATTTAAGCCTTCCCAAATCTGATGAGGGCTAAGGAGTTAACTTCATTCTTATCTGGTGCTGTGGGTTCCGTTTGAGTTTTAGGAACACAAAGAGCATTGTGGCTGGGCATGGGGGGCAGTGGCCACTGGATAAGCCAGCTGGGGGCAAAGACTTGCTTTTAGGAAGGAATAAAGATGGGAAATTAGGACAGTTGGAAATTGTCGGTGATAGGCCTTGAAGATCCAAGTCTCTGGTTGTGGCTTCTCAATGGGTGAGACCAGTAGGGGACTTTGACCCTTTTACTTCAAGCTAAAATTTTCTTTTCCACAGCCTCCCTTTATATGCAGTTTCCTTGTGTAGAATGAAAATGACATTTGTAACCTCCTCTGGGGGCTGTAGTAAGGATTGAATTGAAAAAAGCAGATAAGTAAGTGCTTCCTGTTGTCTGCAGCCTGGGGCTTTCTAACTAAGGCAGACGCAGTTCTGTTCTGTGGACACTGGTGTCCTCCTCACAGCTGGTTCCTGAGAACCAGCTTTTGCCTCCGTTTTGCCTCCGTTACCCTGAGCTCACCTCCTGCTTTCCCCATAGTGGTCTCTTGCTTGCCTGCAATCTCAAGACAAGCAGTTAGAATAGACCTTGCTAGGTCAGAATAGTTTCTGGGAGTCATGGAGGCTTGACAGGAAAAAACTACCCCTTTTCCTCCCATGTATGTTATGGGAGAAGCAGATACAACACACAGCTTACATCTGGTGTCTTGTTAAGTCAGTACCCACCTCATTAGTTTAGTAACATAGAAATACATTATTTAGCCTTTGCTGAACTTATACCTGAAATTAACTTTCTTTTTTACTTTTTTACATTTAAAAAAGGAAATTAAAAGTAATATTTAAAATTTTTTTACTTTCCTTTTTACTTTAAAATAAATTATTATTATTATTGTTTTGTTTTTTGTTTATTGTTTTTTTTGAGACAGAGCCTCAAGCTGTCCCCCTGGGTAGAGTGCAGTGGCATTACAGCTCACAGCAACCTCCAACTCCTGGGCTCAAGCGAGTCTCCTGCCTCCGCCTTCCAAGTAGCTGGGACCACAGGCGCCCGCCACAACGCCTGGCTATTTTTTGGTTGCAGCCGTCATTGTTGTTTGGTGGGTCCGGGCTGGGGATTCGAACCCGCCACCTTAGGTGTACATGGCTGGAGCCTTAGCGGGTTGAACTATAGGCGCTGAGCCAAAAATTATTATTTTTGATAAGTAATGTGATAACGTGCAGTGACCCAGGGAGAAAACATAAACACTCCTTGGGAGAGGAGAACTCTTGCATTCTCTCTTCCTACTGTAGGAAGAAGGCTGGGAAGTTCTAGCAAAGGCAAGGGGGCCTGCCCTACTGCTTGCTCTTTCCTTGTGTATATTCACCTGCCTGGGAGCAGGATGGAGCCCAAGGGCACTGGGGAGAAGGAGATTCAAAGGCCTTGGCCCAGGAAGAGTGGTGGGTGGACACTTACTGCTTATTCTGATTGATTCTCATCCCATGGCAGAGCTTCTGTGGGCCAGGACAAAGCCAGCTGTTCCCTTCTGGGGCCAGTAAGCTGAAGGCTAGTGGGCTCTTCAGCTGTGTGAGAGCTGAATGAGAGAATTGTTTCAATGGCCTGTCCACAGCTGTCTTTGGCATCTAAGTGTGGTTTAAAATGGAGCTGAGCATTTGAAAGCTCCAGGTAATGATATGGGAACACTTCAGAGCAAGCCCTGTTGGAAGAGAGGATGGAAGGACAACACCCTCATTGTTCAGAGACTGCTAGGGACAGAGACCTCTGTCCTTGAGGTACTTGCAGCCTGGATGGAAGTAGCCTTGGACAGCTAGGTTCTTGGAGTGGAGCCCTGTGGCTGATGAGGCCACTGTGCAGCACCCACAAGAGCAGAGGTGCCCTGGGGAAGGTCCCTTCACTGAATGCGATGGGACATCTGTACCTCACTGGCACTACACTGTCTCAGTGATCCCTGGGGCTGGTGTTGGTGATTGTTAGGAAAGGGGGGTGCCTGAGGTACAAGGTGAACAGTTGAAACTCTGCCCAGCCAAGGGTTAGGAAATAGCCTGTCAAAAAATGATTGTCTAGGCTGAGACCTGGCTGAGGAGACATTTGCCAAGTGAAAGCTGAGAACTTTTTTCCTTTTAGAGGCTCATTTTCAGTTGGGTGCAGTGACTCACACCTGTAATCCTAATACTCTGGGAAGCTGAGGCGTATGGATTGCCTGAGCTCACAGGTGCAAAACCTCTTCTCTAAAAAATAGCCAGGCATTGTGGCAGGCGTCTGTATCCCAGGAGAGGCTGAGGCAAGAGAATCTCTTGAACCCAAGAGTTTGAGGTTGCTGTGAGCTATGATGCTACAGCACTCTACCGAGGGTGACAAACCAAGACTTTGTCCGAAGGAAAAAAAAGGCTCATTTTCTTTATGATACACTAACATTCAAAGCCATAATAATTCCATTACAGTGTAGAAAGTTGCACTTTTCTGTTGTGAAATCCACATAAAGTGATCAATTGTCAGGTGCTATTTCAGCAGCGCTGACAGTCCTCACTCTGACCCTTGCAGTCTTGTGTTGATGTGGTACTGTGCATACACAGACGTCCTCACATGTGTGTTATGGGCTGGCCCAGAGCCCTCCCCTGAATTCCACATCAGTTATCCACATGGATGCCTGACTCAAACTGGACATATCTCAAAACTCAGTGCTTAACTTCCTGCCCACATCCAAGGTTCCACATTCGTTATGTGACCTCTCATCCTGTCAGTTGCCCAGCCACAGATCCAGCACCCTTGGCTCCCTGATTCTCTCTCCCGGGAGCTAAACGCATTCCAAATCTGACACAGTCTGGCTGTGTCCACTGCTTCTGCTGTGCTTCACCCTGGCCTGGATCCTTGTGACCACTGTAGGCTGGTCTCCCTGCTATAGGCTCCTCTCCTCCGACACTCCACTGGTTTCCCGTTCAGAATAAAACCTAAAGACCTCATACTAGCTGGAGGGTCCCCCTCATCCTGGGCTTAGGTGATTCTCTTGCCTCAGTCACTAGTAGTTAGGACTATAGGCACCTGCCACAATGCCTGGCTGTTTTTTGGTTGCAGTTTGGCGAGGGCCGTGTCTGAACCCGCCACCCGCCTACCCACTGAGCCACAGGCACCCTCCTTTGGGCATCTATATTCATTTTCTTTGCTATTTTTTGCCCTAGCTGACTGGCCTTCCTTGAATGTGCTGATACTGTCTCCTGTCTACAAGCTTCTGGACACACTCTCCTGGCTTGCTGTTTCCTCTCAGTGGCTTACAGAAGTGTCGCTTTTCAGCAATGTGCTCTTCTTGGCCACCCTGCCTAGAAGTGTGTGTATGTGTGTACACGGACTTACTGCAAGGACACACCCCTCCTGGCACTCCTCATTCTCTGTTTATTTGTCCCTTTTCATGCCCAAGGACAGGGAATATTGTATGTTTTGTTTGATGTTCTATGTCAGGGGTCCTCAGATGTTTTAAACAGGGAGCCAGTTCACTGTCCCTCGGACAGTTGGAGGGCTAGACTGCGGGCCCTGGGACAAGTCGGCTGCTGACCAGGACAGGCAGCGGTGGCAAAAACACCCGGCGGGCTGGATAAATGTCCTCGGCGGGCCGCATGTGGCCCGCTGGCCGTAGTTTGAGAACGCCTATTCTATGTCCTCATCACCAAACAACAATCATTAGCATATTATAGGTCTCAGAGGGATTTATGATGAAAGGGCTGACCTGCTTAGTGTCAGCAGAGCAGAGGTCTGAGCCGGTTATCTCATGGAGAGAGGGGACTGAGCAGGCAAGCACTGTGGCCATTGTGTACAGCATTCTAGATCATTCAGATGGCAGATTAATTTTATAAAGTTCAGCACCTGTCTAAAGTAGTGTTTGGAGACCTACCATACAAGTCTGAATTAAAGAATATTAGGCTTTTAAAAGTTTATTTTTTTAATTTTTTTAAAAATAGTTATAAATTATGTTTATTTTAACATTCTTTTTGTTGTTGTTGCAGTTTTTGGCTAGGGCTGGGTTTGAACCCACCACCTCCAGCATATGGGATCAGCGCCCTACCCTTTTGAGCCACAGGCGCCACCAAAAAAGTTTATTTGGAGGGTTTTGGAGGGCAAAATATTATGTTATAGAAATTTTTTCTCTTCTCTGCCTATAGTTACTTTGTTTTTCCCATCTTATTTTTTTAAGACTCTGCTTATAAGATGTCAGAGTGTGAGCTCCCTCAATGAACTGGCACTCAGGAGATCACACTGCTGTATTATTAGATCAGTTCTTTTTCATTGTTTAAATTTTTAAATTATTTTATTTTTAGAAAAAGGGTCTTGTTCTGTTACTCAGGCTGGAGTGCAGTGGTGCAGTCATAGATAACTCCAGGCTTGTCCTCCTGGGCTCAAGTGATCCTTCTGCACCAGCTTCTTCAGTAGCTGGAACTACAGGTGTACACCACCACAGCCAGCTAGTTATTTTTTACAGAGATGGGGATTCACTGTGTTGCCCAGGCTGCTCTCAAACTGCTGGCCTCAAGTGATTTTCCCACCTTGGCCTTGGAATTATGGCACCACACCCATCCCTTTTCCATAAGCATGTTCTGGATACAGTTGAGAATATTACTGATACTGAGAATAGAAACAGAAGATCTCTTTCATCTTTAACTATATTTTCTAGGCCAAGTGATGAAATTGTTTTCTGTTTTTGAGATAGTAAGAAGCTCAGGCTGGAGGCTTGTTGTGACTTTTAAAACTAAAATTTCCGACCAAGGCTGTGGCACTGTGTTGCCTTATAGTCTGAAGAACAGTGGAGCAGAGCCAGACATTGGAGTCAGGGTAAAGGTCTGGCTCTATCACTCCTGTGGGTAAACTTGGGTCTGTTTGGTGTATAGGGCTGCAGCTCCTTTCTCTCTCCCAGGGGGCTCACTGCCAGATGAGGGCGTGCTTCTGGAGACCTAGTATAGTATACAGCAGACCCTCTCCTTTTATTGTTCGTATCATATAAAGGTTTTCTGTGGCATCTGTCTATTCTGTCATGTGAGTTGAATGAAATCTAAATTGTTACAATGTTTTTGGCACTTGTGTTCCTAGCACTGTGGGAGCCTGTGGCGGGTAGATTGTTTGAGCTCAGGAGTTTGACACCAGCCTAAGCAAGCACAAGACCCCTTCTCTACTAAAAATAGAAAAAACTATCAAGTGTCCTGGCAGGCACCTGTAGTCCCAGCTACTGGGGAGCCTGAGGCAAGAGGATCTCTTGAGCCTAGGAGTTTGAGGTTGTTGTAAGCTATGACCCCATGACTCTCTACCATGGTGACAGTGAGATACTGTCTCCAAAACAAAAAAATTGTTGTGTTTTCCTAGAATATTTTAGAGCTCTGAGGTGCTGAGGAGGGACAGCCTAACATGTGACTGGTCTTACTTGACAGCTATGTTGAAGACATTTCCTTAACTGTTCCTCTGTGTCCTGAAGAAAAGGCTTCTTCTAGGGCAGAGTGCCCTGTCAGGGAAGAGTTGGGAATAAACTTTATCCTGTAATCTGCTGCATACAGAAAGACCACGCCCCTGAGACTTGTGAGCAGATTCGCCAGCACAGTGTAGGTTTTTCTGGGGTGGGGGTCTAGTGTAGGAAAGTCAGAGTCATGCTGGGGAGCTTGAATGGCATCACCTCCTGCTCCAGTCGGCCCTGTAGACTAAGTTCTGCACCTCAGGTGCTCCATGGGCCCAGTGTTGTCTCCTGAGCCAGCACAAGAGACACCAAGTCTGTGAAAGAGGAGTTCCAGAAGAGATAGAGAATATCCCTCACCTAATTGGGAATTGCCACTTAAATGAATACTGGTAGTGATGAAAAGATACTGAGAACCACTAACATCTGTGAAATTCTAAACCAGATTGGGAATTTGTCAGCTCATTTATTTGTTCAGTAAAGCTTGCCAGATGTACTCTAGTAGATGCTGAAGAGTGGAATGAATTGATCAGTCTTTCTGGGGAAGACTGCAGGGAGTAGGGTGCACAAGTAAGCCCCAGTCTAGGGGGGGTGGAGCCCAGAACCAGGAGGTATATGTAGCCAGGTCAGGGTGAGGAAATACCTATAGAGATTGGCAGCTGTGCTGAGTCTTGTAGCTGAGGTGGGAGCACCAGCTGTGTGCTCGCTCTGTGGTAGGCACTGGACACGGTATTACTAAGATAGGAGACCCACCCACCACAGAATAAGCACATAGTAGGTGCTTAGTATTTGGTTTTTTTTGTTTGTTTTTTTTTTTTGCGACAGAGCCTCAAGCTGTCCCCTTGGGTAGAGTGCCGTGGCATTACAGCTCACAGCAACCTCCAATTCCTGGGCTCAAGCGAGTCTCCTGCCTCGGCCTCTCAAGTAGCTGGGACCACAGGCGCCTGCCACAACACCTGGCTATTTTTTGGTTGTAGCCGTTGTTGTTTGGCGGGTCCGGGCTGGGGATTCGAACCCGCCACCTTAGGTGTATGTGGCTGGCGCCTTAGCTGGTTGAGCTATAGGCGCCGAGCCGATGCTTAGTATTTGTTTCAAGCAGGAGCAATCAGTATCAGTAATGTGGAGCTTGTAGGGTGTTTGAGGTTCTGTGCAAAAGGGGTAATGCTGTCTTCTGTAAAATTGTGGAATTGCCCTTCATAATGAATGCAGGTCTGGTGTCCCCCTTCCCCTGCCCTGCAGCCACATACCATATGAAAGTGACTGACTCTGCAAGTGCTTTTCATGGATTCAGACTGGAATTCAGAGTTGTGGGGTTTTTTTGTATCTTTATATCATCCCAAATCTGAAAAATTTCAACTTTGCTCCCAGGATTTTTACCTTATATAGTAAATCTCTGCCCCTCGATCTGGCCTGTCGTATCTGGGATGTGTTCTGCCGAGATGGGGAAGAGTTCTTGTTCCGCACGGCCCTGGGCATCCTGAAGCTGTTTGAGGACATCCTGACGAAGATGGACTTCATCCACATGGCCCAGTTCCTGACCAGGCTGCCCGAGGACTTGCCTGCAGAAGAGCTGTTTGCTTCCATTGCCACGGTTCAGATGCAAAGTCGGAACAAAAAGTGGGCTCAGGTGAAAAGATGTTTCTGTTCTCTTGTTCCCACAGTAGCCTGGGACACGGTGTAACTTAGGGAGGACGCTTTCTGAGAAAGTGGCAGAAGAGCCGGTTTCAGGCTTTGTGCAGGGTATCTTGGGCAAGTCATTCCTTTCTTTGGGCTGCTGTCAGTGGAGCAGTGTGGATAGTAAAAGCCTCCTATCTGCAGTGGCTCCAGGCTGGTGGGAAGTCTTAAGTTTGCCATCTAGTGCCTTTTGCATGTTAGAAGGCATTTTATGACTCAAACCACCACCATCTCCCCTTTAAAAAAAATAAGGCCAGAGACAGAGAGCAAAGAGAACTCACTCACTGAGCCCCCATGGGCCACATTGATGGCAAGCTGCAGTGTGCTTAACGAAGGAAAGCAGATGATCTCCATTCTACAGGGCAGGGCACCGAGAGGAGGGCTGGCCAGCTCTTCTAGCTAGCTCCAGCCGGAACCTCATATCTGTTCCACACATCCCTCTTAGGTCATTTATCTGTGGGACTGGCCAGTGTTGTCTGGTTCCAGGTTTTTTTTCTTTTTTTCTTTTTTTTGACATAGTCTTACTCTGTTGCCTTGGATAGAGTGCTGCGGCATCATAGCTCAGAGCAACCTCAAATTCTTAGGCTCAAAGCAATCCTCTTGCCTCAGCCTCCAGAGTAACTGGGACTACAGGTACCTGCCGCAACGCCCAGCTAGTTCTTCTGTTTTTAGTGGAGATGGAGTCTCGCTCTTCTCAGGCTGGTCTTGAACTCCTGAGCCTTTGGCCTTCCAGAGTACTGGGATTACAGGTGTGAATCAACATGCCCAGCTTGGTTCCAAGTTTTATAATATTAAAAAGGAGCCAGGCTTGGTGGCTTATGCCTATAATCCCAGCACTTAGGAGGCCGAGGCAGATGGATTGCCTGAGCTCAGGAGTTTGAGACCAGCCTGAGTCAAAGTGAGATCTTGTCTTTGAAAAATAGCCGAACACTGGTGGTAGGCGCCTGTAGTCCCAGCTACTTGGGAGGCTGAGGCAAGAGAATTGCTTGAGCCCAAGAGTTTGAGGTTGCTGTGAGCTGTGATGCCATGGCACTCTACCGAGGATGACCAAGTGAGACTCTTGTCTCCAAAAAAAACTTAAAAGGAAAAAACTAACTTTGGTTCCTATTCCTACATGTGTTCGGTATCAATCCCTGGCCCTAGTTGGTTGATCCATGTGAAGGCCTATATACTTTTCCACATATGCCAGGCAATGCCTGTTTCTGGTTTAACCTTTTTATTAATGCAAATCTTAGACATACACAAAAAGAGAGTAACATAGAATAATCCCCATGGGCCTGGCCTCCTGCAGTAATGTGAAGCACAGCCCGTCCTGTTTCAGCTCTATTCTAATTGGTCCTAGTGTTTTGAAGTGAGCCCTAGGCAGGCAGTGTGTAATCTGTATGTGTTATGTGTCTCTAAACCAGTGTTTTTCAAGCTTTTTTATCTCACAGCACACTTGAACTTACAGTTAAACTTCTGCAACACACTTAAATTATGTTGATCAAAAAAAGAAAAAAGAATAAGAAAAAGAATATACTTACTGTGCTTTGAACTTCTTTGGAAAATAATGATTTAAAAATATTTTGCAGCACACTAGTTGAAAATCGCTGCTCTAACAAATTGTGGTATGTATACCTTGGAGTACTATTCACCCATAGAAAAAAATGGAGACTTTACATCTTTTTTTTTTTTGAGACAGAGCTTCAAGCTGTCCCCCTGCGTAGACTGTCGTGGCATCACAGCTCACAACAACCTCCAACTCCTGGGTTTAAGAGGGTCTCCTGCCTCAGCCTCCCAAGTAGCTGGGGACCACAGGTGCCTGCCACAATGCCAGGCTATTTTTTGGTTGCAGCTGTCATTGTTGTTTGGCGGGCCCGGGTGCCGAACCTTTTTTTTTTTTTTTTTCAGTTCAAAGCATTTATTCGGGAAACTTACTTGCAGAATGCTGCAGTTGTGCTATAGATGGACAGCAAAAGAAAAGGGGTGTTTTACCCTGGTATGATAGCAGCCAGCAGGTCGGAATGTGGGGTTTGTATTAGAGCTGAAGGAGTTTGGCTCAGGGCTAGGACTAGTTTCTTTCAGTCGGTGTTATGGACAGTGATCTAGAACTGTCAGTGCCTGGGAATGTTGAAGGCCCCAGTGTGGATTCAAGCCTACTGGGAGAAAATAGCATCTGGCTGGATACAGAGTAGACAAGGCACTGTGATTTTTGGTCAGGACACAGAAAGTGGCATGATCTGGGACACCCTATACTCTTTCATTCAATCCCAGAGCTCTCTTGCTGCCCTACTCCTCAGCAAATCAGGCATAGGGAATCATATTTTTAAAGATACTAGAGAGCTGTGGAAGAAATACAGACTAGAAGAATTAAAATTCCAGAAGGGAAATGGCCCATCATTGGTGAGTCAAGATCGTTTTCTCAGAGGACATTGGCTAATTCTAGACAGAGGGAGTCTAGCGTGGCATAGGCAGAGGAACCCTTAAAGTAAGAGAGAAATCAACAGAATAGCTGAAGGTTGTAGAATGTGGTGAGACTGACAGGGGGCCAGAAAGCCAGGGCCAGATTTACATCTTTTGTGTTTACCTGGATGGAGTTGAAATACATTCTTCTTAGTAAAGTATGGTAAGAATGAAAAAATATCCAATATACTCAATACTAATATGAACCAATATGTAAATAATTACCTACTCACGTGAACAATAAAACACAAATGTAGTCTAGTAGGTGTGCAAGGGGGAGGACAGATGGCAGGAGGAGGGAGGGTGTTTGGTGGTATCTTATCTAATAGATGGATTCCACGCCCCCTGGGTGAGGGGTTCCTTTACAACCGGAACTTTACCTCTGAAGTGAGATCAATACAATCTAAAAATTTGCACCATCGTGTTAATTTGAAATTAAAAAAAAATTGATGGTGTGTGACACACCTTTTGGGGGCAAGACACAGTTATAAGAGGGACTTTACTTAACAAATGTAATCAGTGTAACCTGGTTTCTTGTACCCTCAACGAATCCCCAACAATAAAAAAAAAAGATTCAAAAAGAAAAAAGAGTGTCAGCCCCATAGTACAGTGGTTATAGCACCGGCCACATACACTGAGGCTGGCAGGTTTGAACCCGGTTTGGGCCTGCTAAACAGTGACAACTGCAACAAAAAAATAGCCAGGCATTGTGGCGGGTGTCTGTAGTCCCAGCTACTTTGGAGGCGGAGGCAAGAAAATCGCTTAAAGCCCAAGACTTAGAGGTTGCTATGAGCTGTGACGCCGCGGCACTCTACCTAGGGCAACACAGTGAGACACTTGTCTCAAAAAAAGAAAGAAAGAAAGAAAGAAAATTACTGCTCTAAACCATAAAAGTTCTTTTAATATAACTACAACTGTTATCACTCAAAAGTTACTAATACCTTCCTATCGTCAAATATCCAGTTTTCAAATCTCTTGATTGTTTCACATGTCATAAATGGCTTTATAGTTTGAGTCAAGAACCTAATAAGGTCTGTGCGTTGGGATTGAAAGCTCTTTGATGTCTTCTTAGAATACATGTGCCACTCTCTCTTCTTACCTTCTACCCCCCAACCTTATTTGATATGTAAAACAGGTCATTTGTCCTATAACATTTCCCACTATATGGACTTAATCTGGGTTGTTTCCGTGTGGGGGGGTGTTTAACATATTTGTTTATATTTCTTAATTAATTGATAATTTGATCTAAAGATTGTCAGGTTTCAAGTTTGTTTTTTATTTGGCAAGATTACTTCCTAAGTGATCAGGCTGTCTCTCTTTGATCTTACTATTTACTATTTATTTTCATAACAGCTTTGTTGAGGTTTTACATACCTGATGTGTTATCTGTACACTGTGATATATGTATGTACCATAAACTTTGCCCTTTTAAAGTATACAGTTCATTGACTATTTACTTACTAACCAGAGGTAGGTTTCTTTCACCTGGGCTTTCTGACTGTCCTCTCCTGCCTGTCCCTTCCATTCCTTGTCCCATTAGATGAGGCTCTGGCTAGTGTACTCCCTCCCTGTGGGGTGTCTTAGGAAGAGCCATAGCTGCTGTAATGTGACCTAGGGTAACACTGGGAAATGCACTCCTGGTTTTTCTATTAAAATAAAAAAATTATTAAATGGCTCAATTTGTAAAAAAGGAATAAAGTAGTGTTACTTGATACCACATGGATAAACCTTGAAAAACTCCTGCTAAGAAACCAGACACAAAAGAGCCCAGTGTTGTATGATTCCTTCATGCACAGATCCATAGCAGTGAAATGTGTAGAGACAGAAAGTAGATTAGTAGCTGCCTAGGACTAGGACAGGGGGGATTGGACCATAGGAGAGTGGTAGCTGAAGGGTTATAGAGGCGTTTTCTTTCTTTTTTCTTTTCTTTTTTTTTTTTTTTTTCACTATGTCACCCTCGGTAGAATGCTATGGCTTCACAGCTCACAGCAACCTTAAACTCTTGGGCTTAAGTGATTCTCTTACCTCAGCCTCCTGAGTAGCTGAGACTACAGGCGTCCGCCACAATGCTCAGCTATTTTTGTTGTTGTTATTGTTGTCGTTGTTAGCAGGGCTGACCTGGCCTGGGCTCAAACCCACCAGCCCCCAGTGTAATATGGCTGGCGCCCTACTCACTGAACTATAGGCACCGAGCCTAGAGGCGTTTTCTTGAAGTGACAAAAGTGTTGTAAAATTGACTGTGGTGACGGTTGCAAGTATCTGTGAAGATACTGAAAACCAACGAGTTGTGTACTTAAAATAAAAGAGTTATATGGTATCTAAATTGTATTAAACTGTTAAGAATGGCTGGGAACCGTGACTCACACATGTAATTTCAGCAATTTGGGAGGCCAAGGTGGGAGAATTGCTTGAGACCAGGAGTTCAAGACCAATCTAGGCAACATAGCAAGATCTCATTTCTATTAAAATAAAAATAATGTAAAATAATAAGATGATTAGACAAGCAGTGCTGGTCCTGGTGCTTCTGCCATGACCACTGCCTCGGGACTGCTCCAAAACTGTTGGGAGTGACTTCAGCAAAGCTGGCCAGGTTTTTCCAAGTCCTCCTTGGGGGCCAGTGTTAGCAGTCCAGGATCCAATCTTACTTACAAAGCCAGTAAATGATACAAGTGGAAGTAGGCGAACTCCACCCTTTGGGATAGTGGCTTTTGGGTGGCAGCTTCCCCAAACAGCGTACCACTAAAATTAACCATTATAAGAGAAGAAATCCTCAAAAGCTTATTAAAGTACAGAACAGTATAGACATGTGTCCTGAATGTGGTCACCTGAAACAGAAACACATCCTTTTTGGCTGTTGCTGTGAAAGTGCTCAGAGAGACTGAGGAGGGGGCTCTTTTAAGGCTCCCTCGGTGGAGACTGTGGTGCTGCACACAAGAGAGACGTCATCTGAACAAGATCTGGCAGGGAGGGTAGTTGACCCAGCCAGGAAGTGGCCATCCTGCTTCACCCAGAATTGACACCCGGAATATTAAAAGAAGCGAACTTCGGCTCGGCGCCTGTGGCTCAATCGGCTAAGGCGCCAGCCACATACACCTAAGGTGGCGGGTTCGAATCCCCAGCCCGGGCCCGCCAAACAACAATGATGGCTGCAACCAAAAAAATGGCCGGCACTGTGATGAGCGCCTGTAGTCCCAGCTACTTGAGAGGCTGAGGCAGGAGACTCGCTTGAGCCCAGGAATTGGAGGTTGCTGTGAGCTGTGATGCCACGGCACTCTACCCAGGGGGATAGCTTGAGTCTCCGTCTCAATAAAAAAAAAAGGAAGCGAACTTCACAGAGAAATATTTTTCCAGGAAAACAGTAAAATAAAAATTGTCAAGCGATCCCTTGAGCTTAGAAATTTGAGGTTACAATGAACTATGGGTGACTGCACTCCAGCCTGGGTGATAAAACCCTGCCTTACAAAAATATATATATATGTGTGTGTGTGTGTGTGTGTGTGTGTATACACATATATATTTCACTACACAGAGGTTACTAAGAAAAGTTTGGAGACAGACTGTGTTACAGTCCATTATTTCATTTCCAAGAAACGCTGTCACTGTCACCAGTGTCCTTTCTGATCTACCTGTGCAAGTTTTAACTTGTGTGGCTTATTGGTGTTGCTGGAAAGGCTTCTTTTGTTTCTTTCTGTGTGGCCTTTATGTTTCTTGATTTTTTGGTTTGTTTGTTTGATACAGTCTTACTGTGTCCACTGGCTAGAGTGCCATGGACTCAGACTAGCTCTCAGTGACCTCAAAGTCCTGAGTTCAAGAGGTCCTCCTGCCTCAGTAGCTGGACTACAGGTGCCCCACCAAAATGCCTGACTAGTTTTTCTATTTTAGTAGAGACAGGGTCTCACTTTTGCTCAGGCTGGTCTCAAACTCCTGAGCTCAGGAGATTTTCCTACCTCAGCCTCCCAAAGTGCTAGGATTATAGGTATGAGCCACCTTTGCCTGCCTCATTACTTGATTTTTGTGTATCTCAGTACTTTGGTAATGACCTACATACAGTGATAGACATATAGTGACAAACACACACATGTCAGGTGTGATCAGGGCTGGCTGTATAATTATCAGGGATCCAGTGAGGGAGAAACACCTTTCTCTGGCTAATAAATAAATGGACAATGTAAATGGAAATGTAGGGCCTTTTGTTTGAAAATTATTAAAAATGTTAAGGTGGCGATGGGCACAGGGTCATGTGACTCCTATAGAGGCTGTGTGTTCATAAAGCCAGCCTTGTGTGTGAGGGTAAACTTTGGAATCTTTCTTGAGTCAGTGGCTTGTAGTGGTTTTCTGAAGTAACCACAGAAAGATACATCTTTCCTGGTGGCCTTTGTTCCACATGTTCCTGCCTTGACTTTCCAACTTGTATAGTCATTGGCCTGCTGATCTCCTTTCCATTTCCTTTGCCAGTTTTTCCTCAGAGATGGAAGCCCATTTATCGCCCTCTCTTACACATGTGCACACCCACACAGATCACTCCATGTACAAGCACACTGCACACTCACACATGCACAGATTGCCACCCCACATGTGCACGCAACTATGCACCTGCACAAATCATCTTTCTCCATTTGTAGGCATTCACATCACTCCCATGTACATGCACACACATATACACACCATGGATTACTTCCCATGTCTGTGCACACACTGCACACCCACAGCTATCACAAATCAGCCCCATGTATATACACACACACAACACACACAGATCAGCCTTCTGCACACGCACACACTACACACAGATTGTCCCATGTACATGCACACTACATACACAGATCATCCCCATGTACACGCACACACCTGACAAATACAGATCAGTCCCATGCACACGCACACACCACACACACAGATCAGCCCCGTGTACACTCACACACTACACACACAGAGATCACCCCTATGTACACGCACACACTTCACACAGATTTGCCTCATGTATGTGTACGCCACATCCAGATCAGCTCCATATATATGCACACACTACACACACAAATCACCCCATGCACATGCACACACCGCACACACAGAGATCAGCCCCAGGTACACAAACACTGCACACACAGATGAGCCCCATGTACACACACTGCACACACATCACCCCGTGCACATGCACACACTTCACACACACAGATCAGCCCCAGGTACATGCACAAACTTCACATAGATCACCTCTCTGCACATATACCCACTTGACACACACATACGCTTACAAAGAAAAGGATTAAGCCCTAATCTGCCATTTTGCTTCTTGCATTTTGGGGGCTAGGTAAAAACTGTTGTCTAAAACTAGGAGTTATTTGAATGCAGGACATTTTCTTTTCTTTTTTTTGAGACAGAGTCTTGCTTTGTCCCCCTGGGTAGAGTGCTATGATGTCATAGCTCACAGCATCCTCCAACTCCTGGGCTTAAGCAATTCTCCTGCCTCAGCCTCCTGAGTAGCTGGGACGACATGGTGCCCGCCACAATGCCCGGCTATCTTTTGTTGCAATTGTCATTGCTGTTTTAGCTGGCCGGGGCTGGGCTTGAACTGGCCACCCTCGGTATATGGGGCCAGCACCCTACCCAGTGAGCCATAGGCGCTGCCTGAATGCTGGACATTTTCTAGTTAATGGAATTGTGATAGAAGTTAGTCCAGTGGCGGTGGGACATCAGTAACTTTTAAGTAACTGTTTAGTCAGGATCCCATTTACTTAGAGGTGGATGGGGACTTTTATCTACTGTTATTCTTTTACTGATGTTTATTTGACATTTCCAAATGTTTCTGCTTTACTCCTTGTAGTTTGTGACTGAAATTGGCCTAGTGCCTGGCTTCAGGCAGATAGCACTGTACTAGCATAAACTCATGGGCTCAAGCACTCTTCTTGCCTCAGCCTTCTGAGGATGGCGGGGAGTACAGGTGCCTGCCACCATGCATGGCTAATGTTTCTATTTTCTGAAGAGATGGGGTCTTACCTGCTCAGACTGGTCTCTAACTTCTAGCCTCAAGTGATCATCTTGTCTCGGCTATCCAGAGTGCTGGGATTACAGGCATGAGCCACTGTGTCTGGCCTTCCCTTGATTTTGAAATGAGACGGATCTGGGTTTGAATCCATACAAGCTGTTTGACTTTGAGCAAGTCACTTCTGAGGCTTCTGTTGTTCAAGTCTCTTATAATGGGACGTCAGTCTTCCTTAAGCATTTTGTGCAGTTGAGCAGGCACTGTGGACTGCCCTGCTTGAAATTCAAGCATTCAAGAAATGGAGCCCATTCTTATTGTCACTACAGTTAAGCATTTCCCAAGGGTGGAATGTTTTTAAAAATAAAGGTGTTGACCTGAGCTGTAAGAACACAGAGCAGAGAGCGGACTGGGAACGTGCAGGAACGCAGGTGGGAAGCGCCTCCAGAGAAGGCAGGCTCCTGGGGATGTAGGGGCAGGGTCTCTGAGCAGTCAGGAGGGCCCAGAGCTCCTCAGTGTCCTGGCACGGAGGCCTGGACTTTTGTGGTAGCCTTTGCTGGGCCAGAGCCAGCAAAGAGATAAGCCCCACATCTGTGGGTTGGTGTGGTTCTGTAGTTATTGGGAGTGAATGTGAGACACTAGCCCAGAGATGGCATGGTCAGGTGTGCGTGTTGGAAAAATCACTCTGGATGTAGGTGTGGAGGCAGCCTGGAGGGCAGAACTGGCAGAAGTGGGGAGCTGGAGAGCCCAGTTTGGAGGCTACTGCTGTTCTTCTGTACTGTTTGTGGCAGGATGTCTGGGGTCAGTGTGTGCTGTAGACTAACCACAGACATCTTCCCTGTGACTCCTAGGTACTGACTGCTCTGCAGAAAGACAGCAGGGAAATGGAGAAAGGGAGCCCATCCCTCAGACACTGAGGCTGCAGATGTGACGCGCGCTCAACATGGAGGCAATACTCCAGCGGCACCCGTGTGGTTTCAGACTGACTCCGGGCAATCTAGAAGAACCGGGCCTCTTTTTGATTCCTAACCCTGGAAACACTGGAGTTGGCCTTAAACAAAACAAACAGGAAAAACTTCTAAAGAATTAAACCAAGGCTTAGCCTTAAGAAGCTCAGTGAACAATGCCCTGGTGTTGGCCACAGCCAACCACTATGTTTTCTGCATGGTTTAAAGATAGGGCAGTGGCTAACTTCCTCCCTCCTTTATTTCAGCAAAAGTTAATTAAATTGTCATGCTTTTATGTCAACAACTGGAAAGTACATTACAATCTTTCTTATCCAGGAGCCTGCATGAGAAATGTTATTTGGAAGACCTAAGAGATATTATTGGTTCATATTTACGTATTTTAGATAAAAAGGAGATTGAGTTACTGAGGTAATCTTTCCAAAGCTGGAGGTTATGTTCCTAAAACCCACCTACCAAAGACAGCACTAAAGGAAAGCAGGCTCTCTGAGGAAGGTGCTCAGTGCCCATGGGCTCCCTGGGAATCAGCCCAACCTGCTTGTTGACATTTTATCATGTTGCCCTGACAAAATTATAGCAGAAAGGCTGAAATACACACTGAGGTTCCAGTGGGGACCTGCTCTCTGAAAGATCACTCCTTGCGTCTGCTGAGCAAGGGTGGAAAGTTTGAGCAGGAGGACCGATTTGCAAAGAAGGCCTGTGGCAATACAGACAGGTTTAGGAGTTGATGGAAAACAGAATGACAACAGCTCCCCTTTGAGTAAAATGTTGGGGAAAGAGAATGTGGAGACTTGCCCTCTTCCATCCTACCTGTTTTTATAGAGGTCGGTAAAATAGCACCACCACCACCCACCCCACCCCCACTACTCCTGTGCTCTAAGAATGTTCTCCTTTGCCTCTGTCCCCTGAATAGCTGCTCCGTCCTAAGTGCCAGTGAGGCCCTCCTTGCACTTTGGCTTTAGAATAAATGCTTCCTACCCTGTTGTAGAGGTGGGGGAGTGGGCAGCATCTGACAGCCCAGACAGCCCAGTCAAAACTCGAAGTATCTGGACCATCAGCCCTTTCCCATTTGAGCTGGCTTTCCCAAGGTCATTGGTAAATTTTATGTTCTAGCTTTTCCTTGGCTAATTTTGAGAATTTTGTATAAGAACTTTTGCTATCCAAATCGACAGACATGAACAGTTTTTGCACAGAATAGCCTGAACAACAGGCTAGTGTCTGTGGAAGCAGGCTCCTACATGATGTAACCAGCTGGTCTTTGGGAGCGCCCAACAGACCAGGTTTGGAGGCACAGTGAGCTGTGCAGGAGTGCCTCCGTATGGTCTGCACTCTACGGCCCCATAGCCATACATACTGCCCACAGGGAGCACTCCCATGGCTGATCTAGTTTCTGATTTTGAGGCGTCTTTGGCTCCTTCAGTATAGCATGCAATGGGAGATGGACTGGGGGCTAGGGAGTAAAGCCTAACTGTGGCATTATTTTTCTAGATTTTCTATTGCTGCCATACAGCTAATGACTCTTCTAGGTTCAGTAACAAGTTGCCGACCGCGGGGTCGTCCTCATGCCTTCCATCCCAACTCTGAACCGTGTGCCATTTGTCCTGGAATCTCCTTTCTTCCCCTTCTATTCTTAACTGACTCTCCAGGGAGGTTGCTGAGCACCATGGATACCTTTCTGCCTCAGCCTTTAAATGCTGACTCGCCTCCCCTCTTGGAGGAGGCGTCCTGTCTTCACTGGAGGTCTTAGCAGCCTCCAGACCTAGCCATTTTCTGACATCTGGATGCTGAATGTAACCCAGGCTGAGCTGGGCTGCGGGGGTGGGGGCTTGAGCCCTGTGCACTGTTGCTCCTTGCAAATGTACTTATTTTTGTTCCATGATGTGGGTGTTCTGTTCTTTAAAGATGTATATATTTTCTTACTGTACATAAAGATGTTCCTTAAGTCATACAGAAAGAGATGCAACAAGGGGCCTGTACAGCTCGTTTAGAATGCAGTTGTAAACTGTGTGTGTATTCAAAACTCAGCTCTTAGCATTTCTTGTCAAGCAGTTTGACACAGATCCTTTTGGATAGTACCACCTATGCATTAAGTCCTTAAACAGAATTCGATGCCAATCTGGAATGTACACCATATCTGGAGTTCAGAAAAGTTTTTTTTTTTTTTTTTTTTTTGAGACAGTCTCAAGCTGTCACCCTGCGCAGAGTGCCATGACATCACAGCTCACAGCAAACTCTCGGGCTTAAGTGATGATTCTTTTGCTTCAGCCTCCCAAGTAGCTGGGACTACAGGTGCCCATCACAATGCCCAGCTATTTGGTGGTGGTGTTGTTGTTGTTGTTGTTGCAGTTGTCATTGTTGTTTTCTAGCTGGCCCAGGCTGGGTTCAGACCCGCCAGCTTTGGTGCACATGGCTGGCACCCTACCCACTGAGCTATGGGCGCTGCCCAGAAGAGGTTTTATGACCTGTTCAGGGATTATTTGAGGTCTTGGTAGTTCAGTGCATTCTCTTCAGAGGCCAGAAGCTTCTGAGTCTCCGTCTGGGGTCACTCAGTCCCCCACAGAGGCTGCCTTGGGCCGTGGTGGCGTGCCTCTCTTTCTGTGTCATTGCTGAGGCCACATGGGAACAGATGCTGCCAGGCTGTGCTTGGGAACTCTGCACATTCTACTTCAAATGCCCTTGGCTTTTGGAGTCTCAGACTTCAGCCTGGGACTATTGCAACTTGTGCACAAAAGTGAGTGCTGCCTCTCCCCAGTCACTGAGCTCCCCTGTAGAAACACTGTTCTTTCACAAGGGACTTTTTAACTGCTCAGTTTTTGACTATTTTAAATAGTTTGCTGAAAACTCCTTATAACACTTGCTACATATCATGTTTTGATTGGCTTGTACAGTTAACCTTTTATTTAGTAAAGTGTATCTAAGTAGGACTTTTTTGAACTGTAAATAATGTGGTTTTATTAAATAAAAGTCATATAAAATTGTTACTTATGTTCACTGTAGTTTGATTTAAAGTTGGAATTCTTGGCTGGGTGATGTGGCTCACACCTCTAATCTTAGCACTTGGGAGGCTGAGGCAGGTGGATTGCCTGAGTTCACAAGTTGAAGACCAGCCTGAGCCAGAGCAAGACCCTGTCTCTAAAAAATAACTGGGCGTTGTGGCAGGCTCCTATAGTCCCAGCTACTTGGGAGACTGAGGCAAGAGAATTGCTTAAGCCCAAGAGTTTGAGGTTGCTCTGAGCTGTGATGCCACAGCACTCTACTGAAGGTGAAAAAGTGAGACCTTGTCTCAAAAAAAAAAAAA